CTGTCAGTCTGGCCGGTGACAGAAAACAGAAACTCCTGTTCCGCGCGGAGTTTCTGTTTCCTGTAACCGGCCGGACTGACAGGAAGTGCACACTCCTTCCTATCAGTCCGGCCGGCACCGTGGACAGCGGAGCAGCTCGGCCAGCTACAGGGGAGGAGAGAATATGTGCTGCAGCCGCCTGAGGCTCTTAACAGAGCGCTCAGGCGGCTGCAGCATTTAAAGGGCCGGCCCTGCAGCGGCCGGTCCTGACAGAATTTAGGGCGGCCTGGGGGGCAATTGCCTCCCTGCCCCCCGGCCCAGCCCGCCCCTGGTGTAGTCTGAATAGTTTATGAATATTAATGAACTACAATGTAACAAATTAGATGAAATATTAAAAATGAATCTCTTACAAAATAATACACTGAAATCATTTGTTTTACAATTCCGTAACAGTTCAAATCTTACCAATATCTTACCAATGAAATGATATTGGATATTGTCTAAATCTGGGACCATCAGACAAGCTTGAAAAGTGCCACCTTAGGCAGAATTCTCAAACATCATTTATACTTTGTATCATTTCAATACTCCTGAGGTCCTATGGTTGAAAGATAATCAATAAATGGACATCCCACCAGGTCCCACAGGACAAGCTTTGCTACTTGTTCACTGAATATCTACTACACGTTTTATTATTTTTGCTTATCCGTCCAAACTATATTAAAAAGGTTAAGAGTTATGTTCTAAGAAATTACATCTATCTTTTTCTTTTTTTTTAACATTATACTTTTCTTATGTTATCACAATTTGTTTACTTGAAAGAAAAATAATAGCATTCTTTTTTAGACTGCACAACCTCTTACGCATATAATGAATTGCACTAAATTTGCTAAAATACAAACATGACTAAGTGCCTTTAACCCCTTAAGGACACATGACATGTGTGACATGTCATGATTCCCTTTTATTCCAGAAGTTTGGTCCTTAAGGGGTTAAGGATTTAGATTTTCATGGACTCGTTTGCCATTAGTTTGAAAGCATGCATAACATTTGTCAGATAGCAGTAAGTGATGCTCCAGTAACATAAAATCCGTTTACAAATGTTTAGAAGTTGCACGTTTTTCAACGATGGGTGGAATTCATTCCCACTGTTTATGAAGTATCCTTTGTCTCTTGTGTGTGCTATCATTTCACAGAATCAGCACTCGACACCAACCGCAAGCGTTAGCGGTCCATTACCGAGCAAGATTACACATGTAACCCAATATCTCATGGATTCAGGGCAGCTTCTTAAAAGCAGCCTGATGGCATTTTATGGCAGATAATCAAGTAAAGTATTGATTACATGTTCTCCCACTTAATCACTCAGTGTATATGCCTATGAATATTTTACAGGGGGAGACAGAATTGTCAGTTCAAGGTAAATTCTTGTTGAACTATAAAATGCTCAGTGCTTGCTACAGTAAGTCAGCAGACGTCTTGTATAGAACTGACTAATACAGCCTTGTGTACAATCCAAGACCTGACTCTTTGCCAAATCCTCTTTGTGACAAGAGCTGGTTCCCCGTTTATTCCCCTTTCTTCCTCGCAATGCATCTGTTTCCAAGCATGGATTAAACTAATGAAATTACAAGTACCTGTTTATTAAATTTTCTTATCTCGGAAAGCCGGTTTGGGGAATATTGAAATGGTGAAGGGGGGGAGGAAGGTTGAAAGGAGATGGTAGATAAAATAGGCCATTAGCCTTTATAGGAGTAGGGAAGGAACAATGCGCTGAAAAATTGGGCTGTTAAGATTATCGTTTGATACCTTTTAGTAATTTATATTATTAGTTGTAAGCAGGGGAGAATACACTTCTCTAGAATAAGCAATGTCTTGGGGCATGCAATGCCAGGAGATCTGTATACCCTCTTTGTAAGCCCCTCACAGCATCTACGTATATAAAGGGGAAATTTAACAATAAATGGGACCATTACAAAATGTTACGGGAACAATAGGTTGATGAGGACCCTGCTCAAATGAGCTTACAGTCTATGGGAGTTGGACCCTTTCATGTAGACGTGAAACAAATAAGTCTCATCAAAGTAAATTTAATAAAATTATTACCTTTTCTGTTGCATTGAAAAAAAGTGTGCAGGAGGGTGAGTACAGAGTCTAACAAGTTACGTGTCACAGCACACTTTATTAAATATCAGGTGATGTATTGCCTGTCTGCCAGCTCAGTATCAGAATATTAATGAAATATCAAATCAAATCAGCTTTAATGCCATGGCAAAGCAGATGTCTGTACTGCCAAGCACGTTGTGTAGGTAAGGGATAAAGTGATGTTTCCATTCTTTGTAAGGAATTAAACAAGAGGTATAGAAGTAGGAGCTTAGTATTTGAACTTATCAAATTGTTCAAGAGAGTTTGGCAAAACATGTGTATTGCTGTCTCGCCTCTCTTTTGTTCCCCTTTCTCTCTCTCTTTTGCACATCTCTCATTCTTTCACTTCTCCGCCTCGTTCATCTCTCTCTTTATATGTGGCTCCCATCTTGTTTTGGACCAAGGCAAACTTGGGAGTGTAATTTTCAGAGCCAGAGATTTACTTGCAGCCAAACTGGAATTCGTTGATAAGGCATACTTCGAGCTAAACTGACTTACTAGTTTTGATTAAATCCAGATGGAATAACAATTATAATACTGACACATATTAAACAATCCATACTTAACTACAGCATTCAACCTATTTTAATGATGAAGTCAATGATTTTGTGGAATATTTAAGGTGGATTTAGTGCCATGGCATGCTGGTTAAAATTCACTGATACAGAGTATCACTGATATAGAACATTGAATTATATAGTATGGGAAAATATTTCACTAATGTGTGAGTTCTCAGGAATTGAAAAGTGATTTAACACAGGCCAAGAAATTCATACTAAAAGCATAGCTGATTTGTTTTTTTGAATTCAGCTTTTCTCACCTGAAATTTTAAACTCATTTTATTTAGTGATGTTTAACTAATCACATTGGATCCAGGGCCAGTGTGAGACTATTCTGTGCCCTAGGCAAGACCAGGTACATGCACCCCATCCAAAACAAAAATTGCCATCTTTGTGTGTCTGTTTCACCTTCCAGTCACTTTGTGTGGCTCTTTGTCCCCCGCTCCCTCTCAGCCCTCTGTGTGATTCTTCCCCTCCCTCATCCCTCTGTATGCCTGCCCACCCTCAGTTACATGGAGTGACCAGCAGAAGGGGAGTGCCAGTGCATCCTAGGTGACTGCCTAATTAGCCTAGCAGTCGCGCTGGCTCTTACTGGATCTATCTGTGCTAGAGTCAGTGATAATTTTGGTGTCAAATTTCAGTTTAGTTTTAGTCAGTCTTTTGACTAAAAAGCCATTTTAGTTTTAGTCGTAGTTTAGTCATCTGAATTTTTTAGTTGTACTCTAGTTTTAGTCGACTAAATTTCCAGTAGATTTTAGTCGACATAACTAAAATCTAATAAGTTTAGTTAAGGACTCCATCTGTATTTTTTGCCCCTTCCCCAGCCCTTCTGTCTATCTTTCTGTCCTCCCAGCCCCTCTGGGTGTCTCCCTTCCAAACCGCTGTCTGTCTCTTTTTCCCGTTCCCCAGCACCTCTTTGAGTCTCTTTCTCTCCATAGCCCCATTTGTGTGTCTCTTCCCCCAGCATCTTGTTACTTTCTCCCCCAGCCCCTCTATATAACTTTGTGTCCCTTCAGCCCCTCCATGCATCTCATCTCTCCCGCAGGTCTCATTTCCCCTGCTGCCCATATGTCACAATTCCTATACCAGCCCTTTCACGTGTCTCATTCCCTCAAGCCTCTTCATGTACTCATTCAATCCCAGTCCCTCCATGTGTCTCATTCTCCCAGCCCCCTCATGTGTCTCTTTCACTCAGCCCCCCCATGTGTCTCATTTCCTCTCCTCTTTCTCCATATGTCTTACCAGTCAATTCATTTTTGTCATAGTCTTTTGAGTTTTGACTAAAAATCCATTTTAGTTTTAGTCATATTTTAGTCATCTGAATTGTTTTAGCTTTAGTCTAGTTTTAGTGGACTAAATCTCAAACATTTCAGTCAACTAAAATTGTTAGTCGACAAAATAAACACTGGTTAGAGCAGCCAACATGTGGAACTTGAATTGTATGAAATTCCCCAAGAAGATAAGCTAATCGAGATAATAAACTGAGGTCAAAATATCAATACAGACAGGACAATATAGCAATAGAATATAACAGGGCACATAACTGAAAGGGAAGGATGGAAAGCTTGACAAAGACCTTTGGGGTTGAAACATTGCTGTTGTGGTTCCTAATAAAGTACCTGTCTTGAACCAAGGAGTGCCTGGACCTCTATTACTTTACAGACACACTCACTGACATACACACACACACACACACTGACAGACACACAGAAACACTCACTGACAGACACAGACAGACACACTCACTGACAGACACACAGACACACTCACTGACAGACACACACACACACAGACACACTCACTGACAAACACACAAACAGACACACACACACTGACAGACACATTTACACATTCTTGCACACACTCACATCATTCCCTGGGGTCCAGTGGAGATCTTCTATCTGGAGATCTCCTTCCTGCTCCCTCGCGCGCAGTTTAGTGATGCCGGGTGCCAGAATATGACGTCATATTCTGGCACCTGGCCTCACTACAGACAGAGCGCGCAAGCGTCCTGCTTCCTCTCCGGCCAGGTAAATTTTAACATAGTAGGAACCTGCAATGTGGAGAATGCAGGTACCTACTCTGCTTTAACACCAAGCATGTACTTGCGGCTCGCTGGGCCGCAAAGATGGTAATTGTGGGCCGCATGTGGCCCGCGGGCCGCGAGTTTGACGTGCTTGATGTACAGCGTCAACACGCTCGGTAGATAGAAAGACAGCCCTGGCCTACACAGCTTGAGACGTGGCAATCTGTGAACAATTTAAACCATAAAATTAAAGGGACACTATAGTCACCCAGACCACTTCAGCTCAATGAAGTGGTCTGGGTGCCAGGTCCCTCAGGTTTTAACCCTTCACATGTAAACATAACAGTTTCAGAGAAACTGCTATGTTTACATTTGGAGTTAATCCAGCCTCTAGTGGCTGTCTTCCGGACAGCCACTAGAGGCGCATCTGCGACATTTTCGCCACATTGAGAAATGCTTTCCTATGGACATTTTGAATGAGCGCACGGCACTTGCTGCGCATGCGCATTCGGCTCCGCTGACCTTAAACGGGGGAGCTGATGTCGGCGGGGAGGAGAGGTCACCAGCGCCGGCGCTGGAATAAGGTAAGCTGCTGAAGGGGTTTTAACCCCTTCAGCGCCATGGGAGGAGAACCCTGAAGGTGGGGGCACCCTCAGGGCACTATAGTGTCAGGAAAACAGCTTTGTTTTCCTGACACTATAGTGACCCTTTAACCATAAGTCTGACTTATAGTAATTGTATTCATTTTGTATTGTAAATGAATTGCATTCATTTTTAAGTACTTGACTTTGTTACATTAAACTATCCATTCTTTTTACTTTACAAAATAAAAGTGTTATATTTCTTTATGTCATTTATTTCTCATTTGACCCTTAATGAAACATTTAGAAAAATAAAATGCATCTTGCAGTAAATGGTACAATGCAGGAGCAGAAAACAATTTTTTGAGAACCTACATAAGACAGTGCCAGTTTAATAATAAACTGCCAAGGTTGCAGCCTGCCTGTTTTCCTGATTGAATTATGCAGGACCCCATGCGGAAACCTATGATTCTGATCGAGAAGCATTAGATTTAATGTTTCTCTATAAGAAGCACTGTAGGCGCTATGAGTCTCACTGCTTCTCTGCAAAAAGCATCAGACTGGCAAGGATGATATCCCACTGGGCACAATGAAGCAGTGGTAAAGCATTGATCCTCTCAATTCTGGACATGAGATAATTAACCATTTATTTTACAGAAAAAGAGTGGCAAATGGCACCCAGGAGGCTCCACAACACTGCAGCAATATAGATAAATGTACTATTTTTTTTTTTACACTGTAGTGTTCCTATGGCCACCTGTAGTGGTTATGGTGTTTTTTCCTTTAAGTAATTGGTTTCGCCATTGTGCACAGGGGAGGTCCAGTTAACCATTTCTCTGCATAAGGCTGGTGAGATAGCTCAGTGGGCTTATGTAGAATCTGTTCAACTATTTGGTTGCATGTTCAAATCCTTCCAAGGTAGATAAAATGAGTACCATTAAATTGGCTAATAGTAACAACCCCTATATGCTGGGCTAAGGTAACATCTCCAGTATCTACTTGAATGTACCTTTCCTGGTTAAGTGTGTTATTATTAATATTAGATACCCATGAAAAACCTTGCCCCCCCAAAAAAAAACCCTAAAGAAGTTTCCAAACAGATTTTCTCCTAGGATTCCCAAGCTTTTATCAATATTATATATATTAATCATTATACTGTATTAGTGCTAAACCAAGTGCATTTTGCAGAGGTATTTATTGACTTCGACAACACAACCTCTTAAGAGTGAAGTCTAAAACCTTTTTGTTCTTCCATCAGCGAACACTGCATGGGTATCTTTTAACGGCAGATAATAGAATGTGTGCAACTTTGAAACTCATTCCATATGGTGATTTTGGAAGGCTCTCGATTACCCATAATGCATCTCTGGCAAGACTTTTCCAAACCCACCGAAGAGCAATTGTAACGTGTCTTAGTGTGGGAAAGAGGGACAGAGAGCAAGGAAAGTGGGGCAGGGTCACAAACAAAGTGCTATCTTCTTATCCAGTTTCTGTCTGTGTCTGAATCACACTGAGCCTGTGTACTTGTCAAGCTTCATTTAGATCCGGTCCTTAACTAACGCCTCCTTAACTAACAGAGGAAGGTCAGGAACAATTATTGTTCCCCTCCAGGGACTTTCCTTTCTATGTCTGAGAAAGCTTACAATACAATTTCTGTCAGTATCTCCTTGTTTTAACTGCACATTTTCTCCTTTTAAGCCATGCCCTGGTTCCTAACAGAATTAAATCTGCAAATAAAGTCCATATGGTCTCTTGGAGATTGGGGGATTTCATTCCGTTTAGGGACTTTCCTGATGAAAGTTCAGCCATTCGCCAGGCCAAACTCCTGAATGGAAATTCCCTATTTTATTTTCTTTTTCTTTTTTTTATCTCAAACACCGTTATTCAACACTTAAAGCCGTATGTTCTTTTTTTTTTCTGCTAGTGACTCATTTTGTGTTATCTGATAAAGACTTTAAAAAAAAGCAAAAAAACCCTCTAATGTTTACAAACATTGCAACTAAGCCTGAAACTCTGAAATCAGAGTGTTTACTCAAGCGATTGTTTTTAAAGTCAGTGTGTTTTGCATGTGTACCTGGGGATTTTCAAAGTCACCTGATCTTGGGGCCTGTAAAATATTAACCCTTGGATATCCTTTAACAAATATTTGATATTTTCTCTAACTTGAGGATAACCTGACTTTAACTTTGTGGTTTTGTTACAGAATACTGTAGTGGTTATGGTGTCTTGGAACTCCACATTGTAAGTAAACGAACCATTTTAGAACAGCTTGACTTGTTCCTTGGGGTCCATCAAGCTACACCCCCCCCCCCACCTTCTCTCAGTCACCAGGAGAGCTTTATGCTTCTGTAGCCCATGGAGCAGCTTAGCTAAGGGGAGTGGGCCTTGACATTGCCAGGAGACAGGCCATCTAAAGGTCAGGGGGTCAGGGTTTGGTCACTGGTAATGCTGGGGTGGAGTTTCAAGGGGAGTATAATTAGTGGCCATTTTAGATCCAAGGATCACTTTAATCTAAGTTACACTACCTGTTTGTTGTCCCACCCACCCTCCCTTTGCTTTCAGGTGTTTCCCGTTTGGTCACGGCGGCGGGGGATGGAGAGTAAATTTGGGGGGAGAAAAGAGTGAGATGGGGAAAAAGTTTGGAGTTCAGGGCTAATAGGTAGGCCTTTGGACTTGTTTGGTAGGTTCGAGCTCGTAGGTAGCTCCGAACCGGGGTGTGTATGGGGTGTCTCGGTATGCCCCTACACTTGTGGTGCCATTTGGTGGCAATGGATGGTGCCCTTTGGTGGCAATGGATGGTGCCCTTTGGTGGCTTATTGTGTTTTGAGTGTTCCTTAACCTTGTAAGCAGGAGCATTGCTATGGTCAAAAAATAAAATACCCAGGGCTTGGAGCCCAAAAATAATTTGATGACCCCTCCTAAAGCCCCACACCTGGCCTCTTCCCAAACACCATCTGTTAACACAATCATAGTTACTTTATGACACAAAAACATAAGCAGACACAGATGGACAGACAAACTCAAACTTGCACAAACACTCCAGAAAATTGTAAGTGCAATTCCTTTCCCTTCATTTACCATCACTTAAGAGCTCAATATACTACACTATATCCGTGTCTTTTTCCTTCCCTCCTCCATATCGCTCTGAGCATTGGAATTCCTTCACAGGCGCTGCTCCCTGATCCTACTAACTACATGGAATCAGAAGGGGTGAGTGTGACCCTGAGGAGGGCATCACCAGTGATCTGACAAAGACAACACAAAATGTCTGTCACTGTGGGATAAGGCATTGCCAACAGATTCTCCAGACGGCCCCCAACCCAGAACCCAGAGTGTCTAATGATGCACTTGCAATGTGCTTACTAAAGACAAAATTAAGAAGTTCAGACAGGATTCTAAAATAGGAACTGTCCTAACAAAATCGGGAAAATTGGGAGGAATGCATCGACTTGAAGTAGATAACTTATTCAGTCTATCATCTATCTATTTATCTATCTATCTATCTATCTTTCTCTACATCTGTCTGTCTGCTCTGTATGAATGTTGACAGACAGACCGACAGATAGACAGATATTAGATAGACAGATATTAGATAAATAGATATTAGATAGATATACATTAGATAGATAGACAGATAGACATTAGATAAATAAATATTAGATAGATAGATATTAGACAGACAGATAGATAGATAGATATTAGAAAGATAGATATTAGATAGATAGATATTAGACAGACAGACAGATAGATGTGCAAGCTCTCTGAGTATTAGAACATGGAGATGTGAAGTTATTGGGATAAAGGGAGGGTTAGGATTTGCTTGGGAGCAGCTGTCGGACATTTCCACTGACAGGGAGCACACGCTCTCTCGGCTCGCTGTGAATCAGCACGTAGCCATGTGACAACAGTAAGCTGTAAGCTGAGTCACTAGTGACTGGAATTGTGCCGTACTCCAAAGCCGTTTCCCAGAATCACACAGCGAGCAGGCAGAGGCACACTTTACCTTAAACTCTATTTAACATCTCCTTAAACCAGGAAAAGTCATATACTGTACATTGCTCTGCTAACCTTCTAATCAGATCTCCATGTGATGCAGACTTATATTTCACTATAATAGCAAAGTTGGCTTTTTTTTCCTAGCAGATACAATTATACGGGATTAAAACTATAGTATTTATCTTAGATAACATTAATCCCCAGAGATATCATATTGTATCTGGAGCGTCAATGGAATGTTGAATTTTTTTTTTTTTTTACTAATTAGAGAGAAATTATAAAAAGTCTTAATGTAAAAATATAGACCTGAAATATTCTAAAGTTCTAAATGTATGAATTTATATACTGCTACAGGTATTGATTAACACGGGAACATATTCTTGTTTAATAAGGATTTTTTTCACTAATTAGTGTGCTGTGGGG